TCGAAACGCAAAGACAAATTTACTATTGCTGATTTGAATAACGAAAATCTATGAAAAGGGATACGTGAACCAACCCTCTGTCTTATCCGACACTCGCACGTCAGCGTTTAACGTCATGCTCTCAACGGTGTTTACAAGAATCATCGATAAAACGATAAATGCTCTTGTCAGTTTAAAAAAATGTCACTCTTCAGATGTCGAATGCCTATAGCTACTGCGTCATCTATAATTGCACACGACGAAATCGTGACAATTCGAATTATAGAATTTTCCTGCGTTACTCGGTTAGCCTGTATTAAAATTTCAAAGCTCTACAGTGTGTTACGAATTCCATAAAATTATTGTTTGATGTGTAACATAAAGAAGAATCGTGATTCAAGGAAATGTCGTTTGAAGAAACACGATCGGCTTGATCGTTCCGAGCTCGAAATTACCGTACCCGATTTTTAACCGTAATTAGTGTATAATCATTAGCCGGTTGTCAAGTCATTGATCTGAGTCACCGCGAGATTACGGGAACAGTTGACGCAAAGGGGCTGTCCACAATGTCATCGTCTGTACTTCTGTTGTTTTGCATTCTGTTGTTCGACAGAGCGATTTTCTGCTCGAAATTCGGGGGAAGTCCGTGCCATTGTCCGTCACAGGGACATACTAAGAACTTCCATGAATCCCGACTCGATACTGCTACCGAGAAAACCCATCGCGTATCGAATAACGTATCGTTCACAGAATTATTGACAATTCGAGACGATATAATTAATCGTGCAAATCAACCTCTGCCGACGAACGTTCGCCTATCGATCCACGAGAACGGGTGAAAAATATTTAAGTTACAGCCGAGGTCTAACAATCGTAATTAATCAGCGACGGGCACGGTTACAGTACTGTTCGTAGAGAAGAAGGGAATAATACCATATGGTACGCAACATCACTGTATCTCTCGTCATTTTTTCTATAATCTTCCTTTGAGATTTTTTGAAAGACTAGAACGCAATTAAGCCGGAGATAACTAGGAAATTATCTCAATTGACGATTAAACATTTTTTCTTTTATTATTTCTCGAGATATAAACGTACATCGTGAAAACGTGCAGCAGATACATGTATTTTTAAACCGATGACACAAACTGACTTAGAGCTTCCTCTTTCCATTTATTTATTGTCAGCAAAATTTGACGTTAGGTTAGTTGCTTATGTTTAATTTGGTTACTTCAAATTTTGGTTACTTCTATCTTTTATTACTTTAATTTCCGGTCACTCCAATTTTTTATTACTTTAATTTCCGGTCACTCCAATTTTTTATCACTTAATTTCTGATCACTTCAATTTTTTATTACTCTAATTGTTGGTCACTTCAATTTCTTCAAGCAGGTTTTGTGAAAATTGGAAGCTGTAAGTAAATCTGGAGAAAACACGGCATTTTAATTATAATCTCTCTTTATATTCTGTATTCTATGTGTATTAACTCGTGTTCTATCGAATTCTCTCTGTATGTTGTTTTTCATCGGTTCGCTACCGTCGTGATCGATTGCGCACGATCTTGAACCGTGGTTGTCAAAATATCCTATTGGTTCGTCAACGAAGTAACGGGTGTACGGGATTTTAACGACCGAAGTGGGAGTTTGTTACCAATAAAACTGTTTACGGTTCGCTGTTGCGCAAATCGGTATAAAACGTCGATTTATAACTTCAAAAGGGCACTTTCGATAGTCTCGGCGCACCTGGGCGCTCGAAACTTTCAATTCTCCTGGCACGATGATTATGAATTAATTCCACTGACCGTGAAAACTAAATCTTCGCGTTCCGTTAAGGAAAAAAAAGAAAATGGAAAAATATGCAAACGAAGCGGTATTCGCTGGTAAATTATTCAACCAATGTCATTTCACATGGCGAAATAGACAGTGCAAGAATTGAATTTACTAAACACTTCATCGTTGATTTGAGAAACTTGCGGAATTCCTATCGTGATCATTCGAGTTCTCCGTTCATTGTAATTGGACAATGAATCTTCCTGCAAAATACAAATTGTTTGCAGGAACTCGAAGGAACAGGAAACTCCTTTCTTGCGTTAATGACTTTAATCAATTCGATGATCCAAGATTCTTTTCAAATCATCGAAATCAGTCTTTCGTAGAAAGTGTTCGAATAAATTTATTAATTCAAGCGTTGTCATTTTTATAAAACAGCGCATGTCGGGCATCTTTAGCGCTCGGCTGGTTTAGCGTTAATCCGTCCACTGTTTTAAATTCCAGCTACTCTCTGTTTTGTTGTTAATGCATAAAATCGGCCTAGTTACAATAATCGCAGTCTAGTCGTAATAGTCGCAGTCTAATAACGATAATTGCATTGTGCCGTTTCGGTGGAATTTACTAGACAAGTCGCGTCGTGAAAAAAAAGATCTGTGGCCAGTGAATTGCGTCAAGTGTGGATGGTAATACGATGAAAATATACATCATTTCTTGACACTTTGAATCAAGGCTACAAGAGTTACTCGCCGGGACACGTGAGTATCGTGACATGGTTCGTGATCCATGCGACGGCCGCGAGCAACGAATGGAACCGACCGTAACAATTTTAATGAAGATGATTTTCGTCGCCAGGATACGCCATCAACAGTTGAAAAGTCAATCTCTACCTCTTCCTTTCCTTACTAGGTCGATGCGTCGTTAGCCATTAACGCTAGATCTGCTGCCAGAGGGGTCAGAATGAATTTCAGATTTCTGGATTCATATGCATACCATACACTTTAAAAGTCAATTTCATCCTTAAGAAACGCAACTTCATAATTCATGTCGAAAACGAATTTGCGTTTTAATGAGCCTGACACACGTACGTAAGTAGACATATTAATTCACGAAATATAGAAACTTTCTGGTGCACTGTGAAGAGACCCTGAAATACTATCTGCGGTCGAATAATGTATTTGTGGCAGTATTTTAGTGACTAAGTGTTCGAGTTTCATTAGGAAATATTATTTTCATTTTCAGCAACAATGATAAGTTCGATATTTTCAACAATATCAAGTGTTAAGAGAGAAATGTAAAAACAATTAAGTATTTCACATGGACAATACCGTTTTTGTCAATCTAGATCCTGACTTCATTTCGCGGACGAATTGTCCCATGATCTTCATTAAGTTTCAATTCTGAGAATCATCCACTTGATATCCTATTGTAATGCAACGTGGAAAGCCATCGACTGAACAGCCATAGTCCATAGAGTTTGCGCTGCTACTATTGATAAATAGTATTGATAAATGCATGATAATGCACGTGATTTTTATATGCTGTACAATAATTATTGTTACTAACCTTTACAAGCGATAATATTTTCTGTCGTATAATTTTCATTTTGTTTTTTCTTACGTATTACCTTCTTGTCGCACTAAAGGATTCTTTTTCCGTGAATAAACGAACGAATAAGTAAATAAATAAACGAAATGTGTATAAGACAGCGATAGAAAGATAGTGAATGTTCTAGTAAAATTGCGCAGTCTACGAGGATGTGTAGCTGCTCGACGCTAAAAGGATTAAAGGAAGAAACTTTTCTCCCGTTCGGATACGTCAGTTCATCGTAATAATAGTGAAATATTGAATTCGAGCGTAAACTGCAATTTAATCGATTCTCCTCACGAATGTCTGGAGGACATGAGGATCCGAGTAAGCTGAAAGGATACATCAACGAGAAAATTCTCGATGAGGCGAAATGCCGACGATCCCGAGGGTTTCGAACGAACGCATCCTCGATCCTGCTCGTAGACTTGCGCGGATCAACGATAGTGATTGGCGATTACGTTAACCAAACACCGCGGTATACGCCCCTGCAATTTGCCCGAGGATCATCTTCCCCTAATCGTCGTGCTAATAACAGGATTACAGAGGCCTGACTGTGGAATCGTATACTTATCCCTAATTCACTGTATCGTTATTAATATATATATAGATGAAATTTATATATGTATATATATAATATTTTTTATACTTTCACGAATATCTTGGTGATAATATGCATCATGATCGGCGTGTATTAACACGTTCACTGCCCGGACCCTTGGGCGTTCCGCGGAAACAGTTCGGTTCAAATGACCATTTGATCCGTTCTCAATTATTCTCTGTTCTCATTGCTTAATTGTACCTCTATAGTCATCGGTTTATACGTTTCCATTTATTGCACAGGTATCATTTCGCATGTGCTCTGAGCAAACATTATCCAAATTGTAACCGCGACATGACGCATGGAACTGCGAACGTGTTAGCAAAGTCGTGAGGATCAATTAAATCCTGGGAACATCATTTCTCATCTATTTATTCATTCGAAATTGCAAGGGAACGGTTTATGGATGGACGAAATTAACGGGAGGTCTTGTCAAAGAAAAAATACTAATCCCGCTACAATCGAGTGTTAACACTGAACCTACCGAGCACTAAAGATGTCCGACATGTGTTGCTTAATAGGAATTACAAGACTGCATGTGCATAGAGGTTTCGCTACTTTCATTACAACATGTGCTTAAATTTAGAAATGTATTCGATCATTTTCTACGAAAGACTGTCTATAATTTCGACAACTTTGGTGTTAAAAATGGAGGGACGACAGAGAACAGTATTCGATCGCTGTACGATGCAAGTATTTCATAAACTGTTTCAGAGAAAATTTTAGAAAGACGATTGTTTACCTAGTTTAACACGTTGACTGCCACGTCATAGACCATAAAAGATAAACAAAATCGAAACACCTTATTTCATAGTGTAAGTTCAGAAAAGACAAGATTAATTACAGCAGTTATCCCTGCAACCACCTTGCAGCCTGTGCATTCTAACAGACTCTGGTTTGTTTCTTACGCTGCAATCAAAATTGAGTTTCAAACTTGATAACAAAATTGTATCATCCATATATAGACTGACGTGGCAGCCAAAGCGTTAAAATTCTCGATAGAAATTCTTTTCTCTCGACGAAGACGACGCGAGTCGAACGTTGGCGAATTATGGATGTTATACTCACGTATAATGGGAATACGAGGGGCTAGCCTGCTCGATGTGCGAAGCCGTTGACAAGCCTTGCACGATGGCAGCAGAGGGGTCCCTAGCTGGCGACGAATTTTGGGCTGGCTGTACAGCGTGATGGTAGCGTTGGCACATTTCGGCCAAGTTCCACCCATGGGCATCCATATATTAACACTGCTTCGCTTTTCTTTGGCGTACCATCCATTTCACACGTGTTGTGACACTCCCTCTTCTTGGTCCTCGTCTGGCGGTTTACCTTTTACAATTTCACTTTCCCTATATGCTCGACCTTAGGCAAGTCGCAAATCGAAATCGCAGCAACGAACGACACTCGCACAACTATTGTCCGTTCGCCAACTCGAAATTCGAAACATTGCACTTCAACTCTTGTAATCACTGCTGGCTGTATTCTTCGTTCGTACGTCGCGACCCCGAAATACTGGAACAAAGCAGAACGCCATTTTAGTGGGCAAGATGCATTACGGGGACGGTGTGCTGCAAAATTATCGAACGTTCGAATATTTTGGCTTAAATCAGAGCTTGAAGACGTAAGAGTAAAATGCGAAACGTTTGTGACGCAGTCGTTGCTTGCAATGAACTCTAGCATGCTCAAGGTGGAGTCAAAAAATGTCTTCAACTATGTAACAATGACCTTTCATAAATTTTTCGTATTTTATTTTTGCATTGATAGGGACCTAAATGTATTATTTAACAGTATTGTACAAATAAATACACCTCGAACAGAGAAGATATAATATTTATAGCACTTTTTCTTACATGATTACGTAATGACCATCCCTTAAGCAGACCTTAAAGCTTCAATTTCTTAAGAATCCTGGGATTAATTTCGGAATGAAAGGGCATTTTTGAATCGCATTTATCTCAAAACAGTGTGTATGATAACTCATTAAATAATTGGATAATTAAACTATAATTTGTTCTTAAGATCGTCAACCGTAACTGTAAAAGTATCTATTACCCGTGATTTAATAACTATCGCTAGTGCAACAAAGATTTAATTGTTAGAAAATTAGCGGTGAAGTTTCAACCTCGACATTTAATTTATGCTACTCTTATGTAGCAAATACAAAACGACCTCGTCACAATTCGCATAATGATCGACAGAAATCTGCAGATGCGACGAAACCAACGTCAAGTTCACCAGCTTAGAGTTAGTTAATTTTATAATTGAGAATACAGATCGTTATTTAGTATCACTTATTCTATATGGTAATTATGCAAGTAAAATTTGAGAAGTCGCGTATACGCTTCTGAAAAGTACTGTCATGTCTGATCACGATCTGGCAATTCTACTTCCGGCAAATACTACTGCACACGAACCAGTGAAATTTCCAAATTCGACTTTCTCGTAAACGAAAACATCTGATTTGAAAACATCGATTAATTTTTCTCTATATTTTCTAGCGATAAACAGATAAGACATCAAGAATTAAAAGAGTAACACACCAATAATTAAAAGTGTAACACAGTTGTTGCAAAAGCACTCTTAGCTGTCCTATATACCTTATTTTGTTAACGCATATTTTCAACAAAGTACTGAACGATAACGCTGAGAAACACTTCTTGAAACTTGTTACCGTGGTAAGTGTACACACCGATAAAAAATTTTCGAGCAAGAAGTGCGAACTAAGGCCGTACTGGTTACATTATTTCAACCAGTTTACGTGGCAGCATTAATCTTTCCGCGATCTAAGATCACGAAACAACTCCTTGCAAAATTCGTAGGCGATTCGCCACTCCGATCTCCCGCGGGTTGTTCTGTCTTCAGTTTTTATAGGAGATCCTTCATTCGAACTTCAGATAATCGACGTCGAATGCCTGCCAATTACGATGATCGAGCTTACAAAAACATTCAAGTAAATGAGAACAGCTCGCGGCAACGTTAGAAAGTCAGACGGCGTTGATTTACAATTTTCCGATTTTACGTAGCAGTGTATATCAACGAGCCTCGCGCAGATTAAATTCCGCGCTCGTTAGGCTGTTTGCACATTATAATATTGACTTTCTTCGCGGATCTAGTCATCGAGCCGCGTCGAAGATTTGTATCACTGTGAAATCATCGACGTCACCGCAGATAAAGAAACCTGAGAGGGAAAAGAGAGGAACGATGTTCCGAGCGGTGCCGTAAACCGACGATTTCAGCGAATTTTTCAGCGCACCATCGTTACGCGAGTCCATAGCATTCCATGTGCTTTGGTGTCTCCATCTTCGTAATGACATACACCGCACGATGCAACGAATATCGCGTATCGATCTGGCATTATGATTATTATTGCGTTATACCATGCAGCGATCGAGAGACCCCCGTTCGCAACACGTATAGAACGTACGTGCATACGCTTGTTGTGCGCGAAACCATCAGCTAAATGTGGAAACGGGATTCGGAAAAAAAACTGTTCCCGAAACCGTTTAGGGAAACAGAGATTTAGACGCTCGCTTGGCATTGGTTTAACGGGAATCGTCGGAATTGGACATCGTTTTTATTTAAGAAAAGGCACTAGTCCTTTTCCAAAGAGTTTCCTAATTTGGAATTTCCTTTCATTACAAACGTTCTAAATCCTAATTTTGTAGAATCAATTTAATTGTTAGTTACTTGGTATTAAATCTAATAAGAGGATCAGCGTTAATCTAGGTTTGCCAAGCATTAAAGGCAACTATTTTAATAATAATAATAATAATAATACTGACTGATATATAGAATCGATGGAAAAAACCTCCTTTTTGAGAAAGTGGAAGAAGATATACAAACAATAGAAAGGAAGGAAAAAATGAGAAATATAGTATGAAAGAAATGGAAAAGTAAAAATAATGATGGTGGTAATAAATATAAATTAAATTTGCTCTTCTTTATACTTTTATTATAATGTTCGTCACAAATAATAAATATATTGACTAAATTCCTCAATAATATATCTTTACGATCTCAATAATTTTAAATTAAATTGGAACCTGTCATTTAACGGTGAACCTAGTGTTAACGAAAGAAGTTCCACATCGCGTAAAACAAAATTGCCACGAAAGAGTTTAAATGGAGCTATAACTGCCATCAATAAAAGATCGGAGGATCTTGTTCTTGACAGAATATCGAGAAACGTTCTCGTCTGTCACCGTTATAATTAGAAAAATCCGAGGATTAAGATGGCCGACAGTATTATAAACTTTATCGGCGCGTAATAAATTCAAGCTCGCGACATCGTAACATGCACTCGTCATATTAATCGGCGACCGGACAACTTCGTCGTCGTGTGCCGCTGTAACCATCTAGCCGATAATATTGCGAATTCGAGAGGCCAGATTGGATTCAATAGTCTACGAGCGAAATAAAGAAATGAATGAATGCAACTATGCCTACGTGTGTAACTAGCAGCATTAAGTAGACGCGTTCCGTCGCACGCTCGAAAGGAACGTGAACGAAGTCAATAAAAAAGTTATGTGGTTTCAAATTCGATACAATGATTCGCATTAAAATAATTGATATATAGGGATCTATCCAAAGAAAAAGAGATATGTTTGTCTAATTCTAGATAAACCATCCATTCTGTTTTATCGTTATTCAGTAACGGACTTTATGAATTTATCTGAAAAATGAGCCGATGAAACACGGAACAATGAAAACAATTAAAGATGGTAAAAATGCAGAGAGTATATTTTTATTCAACTTCTGTTTATTGCGATCGACATTTCGCATATAAAGAGCCGCTGTCTAATTCTTAGTTAATTATTAGATTGCGGATCTTCGTGTAAAATAAAAATTTTCCAGGACGATTATACGAAACAGAAATTAAATAAACATAAATTGTCTTTTCTTCATTATTTAATAGTGTAACAATGTTGTGAAATTCTTCTTATATCTTCGCAATTTTATGTTTCAGCTCCTCAATATTGCCATAAATGCATAAAATCGTCCGCCTACTCATGACCATTTATGGATTAAAAAAACAAATTGCACGTAACCCTTGCATTAATATCGAAAACTTATCAGATCATTCAATAACATTACAGTCCGAGGAGGCTTTAGCGCACATTTTTATGAAACATGTATGTTTACCACGCGAACAAAGGCGAACTGTCGAAAAATAGCAACGATATGCAGGTGTGGTGAAATCCCACTTTGCTGAATTAATAAGATCACAAAGTTAACCATTCAAATGTCACGAGTTCGCACTATTCCACTATTGCAAGATGATGGAGGGACCGTGGAATATTCTCATGAAAGTGCAACTATGTGTCTAGTGATAACATACTTAGCCATGTAAATCGATGTTGCACGCGATATGAAAAGCTTTTGAATTTAAAATTCACCTTGACCTATGATAATACGTTCACGACCATACATATACTTATAATGTTTTCAGAACCATCGCGGAATGTTTTGATAATTCACGGATGCAATTGGAAAATGCAATTGGAGCAAATCGTGTCCTCTGATTGGGATTAGCAAAACACATTTTGCAGCAGAAGAACGAGTGGTTCAATCGAGGTGCATATTTCTGCAACAATGAATGTTTATTGTATAATTACACGATTGTCTTGTCAAAAACATAGGTTCTTGCATAGTGTTCTTGCACGGTTCAATCATTGATAAAAATGTTCACTCGAAACATCTCAAGAATTAATAATGTCTTTAACGTCCTAAAACACGTCCTACAAGTCTAGATCCTCTTTTAACCGTTCATCTTTCTACGTTTCTCGGGGAGCGATCAGAAAACTGACGTAACCGTATCGATCAATTTAGAATATATCACGCAGGTAAGCTCATCGAGCAATCTGACTTTAACAGTGAGGCACCTAGAAGAAGTTGGACAGTTCTGTCCTAAACCCGAACGACGAGAAATTCGCCAGAACGACTGGCTGCTAATCAGCGCGACACCAGGTAAAACTTCGACGATACCAATGCGTTTTATCGCATTCATGAAACTGAATATGAAAATTCCGTAGGTGAACACCGCGAGGTGTGTACGTCACGTATTTACAAAGTAGCAGCATTTATGATAAAATTATCGTAACAAAAGGCAAAACTAACTGGTAGTTACGCAGCGTGGCTAGCTTCTTAGATATAACGGTCGCTCGGAAGCAAAAGTTTCGGGCGTGTGTGCGCGGACGGTTCGATTTTCGACACAGGGAACAGGACGATCGAAATCGTCCGGGTATCTCGCCAGCGATCGATCGATGCATGAACTCGGTTATCGAGCCTGAGATCGCCATTAACGAAGGTTTCACGGTGGATTTTCGAAAAATCGAGTCGGATCGCGCGCTGCCTTGTTTCCTCCCTCTTCTCCCCCCTTCTCTTTCTCTCTCGTTCTCTCTCTCATTCTCTCTCTCTCTCTCTCTATCTCTCTCTCTGTCTTGGTCTCTCTCGGTGTCCGTCTGTCTCCTCCGCGTCTCCCTCTCTCTCGCATCCACCCACGCGCGGCGCAACAACGAAACCGGCCGGCGGCTGAGAGAGAGTGTATTTCTTGCTTATTATCCTTTCCTTCGATTTCCTACCGTAAGGAAAAAGAATACAGTTCTCGGATGGTGGCGTACGTATCGACGGTATCCTCAGTGCCCTCGGTGTGACTCACGCGTCGAGGCGTACTCGCCCCGGAGATTTACAGCTCATTACCGATTTCATAGCCCGAAGTCACGATCGATCCTCCGCGGGCGTAACTTCATAATCGGGGCGGTGCGGCGCGCGGCTATGGATCGCAGCACAATGACGATCGCGATGACGACGACGCGGACCGCGTGTCTATCGTATCCGCGTCGTCGTGGAAAGCTGGATCGCGGGGGCTAGATCGGGATCGCAATGCGACCGAAAGGTGAGAAAAATGAAACTCGCGGGGTAGACAGGCCGGGACCCCGGAGAACGTCGTTCCTTACCCATAGGTCGCGGGACCCGTCGCGAAAACCCATTCACTTCGAGGACGGCCGAATCTCGAATACTCGCTATTTACCTTTCAATTTCTCCGGAGCATCCCGTGGCAGATGCAACCGCAATTCTCGGCCGGTTGACCCAGGTCCGTTCGTGTTTCGTTCGAGCTTTCGTTCGAGTTTCCACGAGTCCTTTAAACTCCACTGACTATGCTTGAGGCACCCACGACGTTGTCCTTCGGCTATCGAACACCAGCAATCTCTCACGGTTCCGCGAAGCGATCGGTGCTCGTAATCAACGGCCGCGAGACCAATCGGCCGCGCGCGGCCCGTGCGCGTCTCTGCTCGTGCATTAATCGCCGCGGATCCGCGCGGATCACCAGGATCGGTGTACAGTTGCACAGAGTTGCTGCACAGAGCAGCGAGGAAATGTGCGTGTGTGTGTGTGTATGTATGTGTGTGTGTCGCGCGTGTCGCACGTTTGCCGATTATGCCCGCGACCACGTTGCTGGCGAGCAGCGCGAGCTACGGAGCATAACACTGGATCGTTCGAACGCGTGTACGAGGTATAACGATACTGGGTCCACACGTTACCCGCTCCACGCCGCTGGAAATGTCAAACGACGACAACGTTCGCCTGGTTCACCGTTGTTGCGCCGACATCGACGGCCGTCGCTCGCGCGCTCCTGTGACATAATACGTCGGGATCGATGATTTCGAATCTGTCGTGTTCGGGAGCCCCCCCGACACCTCGGTCCGATATGCGTGTGTACCTCGTCGCGGGTCCTCGGTCCACGTTTTCCGCGCGTGTCCTTGCTCGTTTTCGCAAGGACGAGCCACCGCGTCGGCGGAGAACTGTCGCCCGACGGATTCTGATCTAGATCTCTGTTCAGGTGAAACTCATCGGCTCGGGAGCGCGCGCGGGATCTAGCGTAGATCAGCGTGCTGGTCGGGCGCGTGTGTCCAACTCGATCTCGCGCGGCAGCCGGCTCGACTCGGCTCGGCTCGGCTCGGGCTCTCTCTCTCTCGCGTGTTCCGTGGTGCACGACTCGAGCGCGGACTGAAGTCGACCGCGTCGTAAGGTGAGCGGAGGTGACTTGCGACTCGACTCGACTCGACTCGACTCAACTCGACTCGACTCGACTCCCCTCGACGCTGCTCGACTCGATTCGGCCTGGGCCGAACCATCAGCCCAGCCCAGTGGCGGCGGCAACGCAAGGCAAGGCCTTTCTACGATTATGCTGCGATCGCGCCAAGCCGCGCCGCGGTATCGCGACCTGTTCTACACCATCGTACCGCTGGTGTACGTGTGCACGGATTTACAAGCACCGGCGCTCGGGGCCTCGTGCTCTGTCACATTTATTCGCATACCCTATCGTCCCTTCTCTATCTGCCGCCTGTTACTATCTCCTATGAACGTTGTTGCATTCTATCCTTGTCTCCTTCTCTTTGTCAATCTATCTTTCTCAATCTCTTTCTCTCAATCTCTTGCCCTCCCTCCCTCCCTCCCTCCCTCCCTATCTCTCTCTCTCTCTCTCTTTCTCTCTCTCTCTCTTTCTCTCTCTCTCTCGTAATCTCTCTGTCTCTTTTCCTCGACCGCTGCAGCCTGCAGTTGCACTGTTTCGTTTTGTCTCGTCTCCCTCTCGCTTGCACCAGCTCGAGCCGCATGTGGATACGCCCATGCATAGGCGGCACGTCTATGCTACTGCTTCGAGGCGTTACATACCTTTCTCAAAATGAAAAGATCCATTTTTCAAACACTTTAGATTCTGGTTATACTGCCTTAACGTCCTCTTCTGCCTAAATTGCAGGTCTTTATGCAAACTAAATGTGTTCTTCACCTTCATCTTGGACGGCTTCATCCCCAACGCCAGCTATCGCGTTAATCCCTTAACACCTTAAGTGCTGAACATCATTCCAAAAAAGTTCCATAATATCAGTTTTTAAATTCGTCTAGTTCGTTTAAATTCGTTCTAGTAACTACTAGATTAGTAGTTCTTTTGTATTCTAAAAATCTTAGTAACAGTTAATTTGGTTGGATATAGTACAGTAAAAACAAATTTGAGAAACTAATTAAAGATTACTTCGTGGCCTTGTATGTCAAGGACATAATAAATTAACACGAATTGTTTGAAACCGTATGAACTTCATTAATGCTAGGTATTGAAATTGTAAGGATACATTTATGAGGAATTTGGTGTTAAATTCGAAACTGTGTTTAATTTTTTATGCAAGAACAGAAGTTTCCATCACAAGAGATAGAATGACAGACTATTTTGAAAGTTGCGTTAAGGGATTAAGATAAAAAAGGTACGGTTCCCCATTATCAAGAAACCTCCACGGTGTGCGCAAGTTTTATGTCGTTACAAATAATGAAGACATTCGAGATAGACAAAATTGCTGACTGTCTGTCCATAGTCGGCCAGAAAAAGTAGACAAATTATAGACTGAAGACCAATCATACGATAGTACGAGTTTTATTCTTCCAATGCGGCTTAAAATCGCCGATGATTCGAATCATGGCCGAATTTTATAACGCCCGTTGAAACGTTTCAGTGAAACTTTCGAAACAGAAAACTATCTTCACTTTCCCACCGCTGCATAACGTAAAAAAACATCTTCGACAAAAAATCAACTAAGAATTGTGAAAGTCGAGGCTTCGTGTTTTATAATGAGCCCAGGAGAACTGCTGAATGATCCTTTTCTCAAGTAATAAGAGATGAACTATCGGCGATGCCAACGAGATTTCGTGAATCAAATACACGGTTTTGAACACTTGCGTGGATTTTGCTTTCCATTCACCGAAATAGTTCTACTAGATATTATGTTTATGCTGAGGCTCTTTCAAGATGTTGGAATATAGTCGGACATATACTCAGATCTAGCTTCAAACTCATAGTTTCTATAAAATTCATTAATGACATAATCTTTCTCGCGTTAAATATATGAATAGTGATGGCTGCGGATTTTGCGTGCTTCTGATAAAAATTACGAGAAATATGAAACAGCGGAAGCCTTANACTCCCCTCGACGCTGCTCGACTCGATTCGGCCTGGGCCGAACCATCAGCCCAGCCCAGTGGCGGCGGCAACGCAAGGCAAGGCCTTTCTACGATTATGCTGCGATCGCGCCAAGCCGCGCCGCGGTATCGCGACCTGTTCTACACCATCGTACCGCTGGTGTACGTGTGCACGGATTTACAAGCACCGGCGCTCGGGGCCTCGTGCTCTGTCACATTTATTCGCATACCCTATCGTCCCTTCTCTATCTGCCGCCTGTTACTATCTCCTATGAACGTTGTTGCATTCTATCCTTGTCTCCTTCTCTTTGTCAATCTATCTTTCTCAATCTCTTTCTCTCAATCTCTTGCCCTCCCTCCCTCCCTCCCTCCCTCCCTATCTCTCTCTCTCTCTCTCTTTCTCTCTCTCTCTCTTTCTCTCTCTCTCTCGTAATCTCTCTGTCTCTTTTCCTCGACCGCTGCAGCCTGCAGTTGCACTGTTTCGTTTTGTCTCGTCTCCCTCTCGCTTGCACCAGCTCGAGCCGCATGTGGATACGCCCATGCATAGGCGGCACGTCTATGCTACTGCTTCGAGGCGTTACATACCTTTCTCAAAATGAAAAGATCCATTTTTCAAACACTTTAGATTCTGGTTATACTGCCTTAACGTCCTCTTCTGCCTAAATTGCAGGTCTTTATGCAAACTAAATGTGTTCTTCACCTTCATCTTGGACGGCTTCATCCCCAACGCCAGCTATCGCGTTAATCCCTTAACACCTTAAGTGCTGAACATCATTCCAAAAAAGTTCCATAATATCAGTTTTTAAATTCGTCTAGTTCGTTTAAATTCGTTCTAGTAACTACTAGATTAGTAGTTCTTTTGTATTCTAAAAATCTTAGTAACAGTTAATTTGGTTGGATATAGTACAGTAAAAACAAATTTGAGAAACTAATTAAAGATTACTTCGTGGCCTTGTATGTCAAGGACATAATAAATTAACACGAATTGTTTGAAACCGTATGAACTTCATTAATGCTAGGTATTGAAATTGTAAGGATACATTTATGAGGAATTTGGTGTTAAATTCGAAACTGTGTTTAATTTTTTATGCAAGAACAGAAGTTTCCATCACAAGAGATAGAATGACAGACTATTTTGAAAGTTGCGTTAAGGGATTAAGATAAAAAAGGTACGGTTCCCCATTATCAAGAAACCTCCACGGTGTGCGCAAGTTTTATGTCGTTACAAATAATGAAGACATTCGAGATAGACAAAATTGCTGACTGTCTGTCCATAGTCGGCCAGAAAAAGTAGACAAATTATAGACTGAAGACCAATCATACGATAGTACGAGTTTTATTCTTCCAATGCGGCTTAAAATCGCCGATGATTCGAATCATGGCCGAATTTTATAACGCCCGTTGAAACGTTTCAGTGAAACTTTCGAAACAGAAAACTATCTTCACTTTCCCACCGCTGCATAACGTAAAAAAACATCTTCGACAAAAAATCAACTAAGAATTGTGAAAGTCGAGGCTTCGTGTTTTATAATGAGCCCAGGAGAACTGCTGAATGATCCTTTTCTCAAGTAATAAGAGATGAACTATCGGCGATGCCAACGAGATTTCGTGAATCAAATACACGGTTTTGAACACTTGCGTGGATTTTGCTTTCCATTCACCGAAATAGTTCTACTAGATATTATGTTTATGCTGAGGCTCTTTCAAGATGTTGGAATATAGTCGGACATATACTCAGATCTAGCTTCAAACTCATAGTTTCTATAAAATTCATTAATGACATAATCTTTCTCGCGTTAAATATATGAATAGTGATGGCTGCGGATTTTGCGTGCTTCTGATAAAAATTACGAGAAATATGAAACAGCGGAAGCCTTACTCTAATTATTACGAGAGAAAACAAATTTTCTTCTCGAGTTGCTTGTTCATAGTATTGTAGCTGACAGGAATTAACGCGGGCCATACTGTATAAACATATTGCAGTTTACTTAAGGCAACGGATGTACCAAATTACGTAATTGTAATGGATCAAGCGAATCTATGCATTCTGCATAAAATTGTGCATGGTATGACTAACAATCCTAGCGTTACTTCGCTTGCAAATTTTAATGCTCCATCTCGTTTTGCAAGGTCAATCCTGGCCCCTAGAACCTCACAGTAGTCATCCAGATTTAGTTCGATTGACCCGTTTTACGGGACTTACATATTCATAAATAATAATAGTGATAAGTGTAAGATAATAGTGATAATACATGTTTGCATGTATTACTGAATTTAAAGTAAGACTTAATAAACTGTTTGTTCGATCCACTGATTCTCCACAATTCATCGCAAGTTATTTTTTTTTTGTGAAAATGGTTGTTTACCCGTATATAAAATAAACAAATAGATAGATAATTATAATAAATACGTGAACGTAGTAAACGTGAGGCGCGCAAGTCAATCTCTTTTGACGAACGTATCACTGAACGGAAGATCGCATAAATGTGTCATATAATTAATATCGAGAACACATAACGATACTCGAGCGAGACGAAAGACGGTGAATTTGTATTCCTTCTCGGCAAGATAAGCGTGTATGAAGGCTCGTTGGCTAACAACAAGAGCCGTCCGATATAAAGGAGGTCTAAGAGGCTAGCGCGTACGCACCAGGCAGTCGGGATTGTCGTTTTTGAATTTCCGCAGGGCCGTAATGCTGCGTTACATAATTGAAAGCGTAGGAAGCAGATTGATTAACACACATGAGAGGAGAAAGGTTTGCATAGATTGGTGGTGGCTTTTATGCGAATCGCGCGATGCGATTCTAGGAGACCACGTGGGTGTCATCACACGGCCGCGTGAAAAAAAAGCTCGCACAGATTATAGACGCTGCGCCGTGACGGGCTGCACCGTCTCGGCTTGCAATATACGAGCCGCACAGCCTCTCCAATATCACGGAAAGGAAGAACGACGTGACAATAAGCCACGAATTACGATTTCCTCCGCGATCGGGCCTGGCGGCGGCGGCTCCTGCATCGAACTTCAATCTATCCCGGCTACCGTCCGAGTAATTGCGCGATTTAGCCTGATATTGTTATTCCAATAA